TATGATATAACCAGGAACGTAGCCAAGGGGGAAGTGTGAGCCGTGCTCACCCTAAATTTACTCTGGTCCTCCATCTCAAATTCAAAATAAAATAATGATAAAGGGGTCAGAAATATTTGGTCTCCCTATTAGAAATTTGCTGGCTACGTGCCCGGGATGTAACAAAAAAAACATTGGTTTCTGAACACTGTATTCTAAAACAATCTGCTAATTTAATTTAAATTATTATTAGTAGAAATATTATTATCCAACTATGATTTGCATGTTTTTTGTTGTTATTGTATTAATATAATTTTCATAAAAATGTCGATTTGGAATATACAGTATGAATCACACAGCATATTTAATAATATTTTTATTCATAATAAACCATTGATACCTATAGGCTAGGTATAACAGTTGTTTCCGAATACAAACAAATTTTAAATCATATAGTGATATAAGTTATTATTAACAATGATATTTATGTATTTAAAAATCGTCAAAACCATTGAATTGCATTTCCAAGAAAATGCAATAATAATATTGTTGATTAATTCGGAGTGGTAAAAACAAACAACAACAAATTTTTGTCGAATTTAAGAAAATCGATTGAAAATATGTATAGGTACACCAAAAGCACCTGTATCCGACGTATTTGAAAATTTTTCTCGTCATTTTGAAATATATACTTACCTATATTTGTTGTTTTAAGAAGTTTATTTAGCGCTTTAGCACAATATTACTGTCAGCACGGCTGTTATTCCCAAGTAGCATATAGCTAACAGTAGTATAATTTTAATCTAAGGCGCCTACAACAATAAAGGCAGTATAATATAATATGTACTTTTGGTTATTTATATTAAATTTATAATGTATCAATGTCTTTTATTTACACGTATTGTACACAGTACCTATTGTATCATAATATTGTGTGCACAGTAACAGTAACGATCGGGACAGATCTATTTGTGCTGCTTCGAAGCRCTCTTGTCGCCCAACCGTATACACTCGTTTTGGACTTGTGACCTCCATTCCCATCGCTGTCTTGACCTTATATGGTTGTAACCATCGTTAACACTTCCCCGGTGTTTTCATTCTCTC